CCCCCAGGCCAGGGACCGGCACCGGGCCATGGGTCATTTGGAACCGGCCCGCGAAAGTACGAACCCCCACCGTCCGACCACCCGCCACCTACACCGCACGCACTGTCCCCCGTCCCATACGCCGTGCAGACACCCCCCCAAACCAAGTCTAAAACCAGGCCTAAAACACATCTAAAACAGGTCTAAAACCAAGACTAAAAGAAGACTAAAACCAGGTCTAAAACAGGTCTAAAATATGACTAAAACCAGGTCTAAAACCAGGTCTAAAACAGGACTAAAACCAGGTCTAAAACCAGGTCTAAAACCAGGTCTAAAACCAGGTCTAAAACAGGTCTAAAACTAGGTCTAAAACAGGTCTAAAACTAGATCTAAAACAGGTCTAAAACATGTCTAAAACCAGGACTAAAATAGGTCTAAAACTAGACTAAAACAGGTCTAAAACCAGGACTAAAATAGGTCTAAAACTAGGTCTAAAACAGGTCTAAAACTAGGTCTAAAACAGGTCTAAAACTAGATCTAAAACAGGTCTAAAACATGTCTAAAACCAGGACTAAAATAGGTCTAAAACTAGATCTAAAACAGGTCTAAAACATGTCTAAAACCAGGACTAAAATAGGTCTAAAACCAGGACTAAAACAGGACTAAAACCAAGTCTAAAATCAGGTCTAAAACCAGTTCTAAAACAGGATTTAGCCAGGACTTAACCATGCCGCTGGACCCCCGCCCCTTTATTCTAACGCTTGTATATTGCAGATGTTATTGCTTCGTTTCGAATGTTTCACAGTATGTCTTTAAATCTTTCTATCTTCATGGAGACCAAACCAGACCAAGTTACAGGTCAGATCTGTGAAGAGGCGACCCCACTCAGTCAGTTTTTCGAGGGTTTTTTGAGCTATAAAACCACTTGTAACTGAATAAATGTAAAGTACAGGTGTTTAATGTCACACTGTGGAACATTCCAGGCAGAGCAATGACGTATCCATGGAAACAAGCAACCAAAAAGTTACATAGAGCTCTTTTAAATCTCTAAATCAAACCAATAGCACCAAGCTTAGACATTAACGTGGACACAACTCAGATATAAACAACGCAGCTGGTGAAATGTCAGAAAAAGAAGCGGAGTCTTGGAAAAGTTTTGATTCGAGACAAATCTGCCATCGGCCAGATACTCAGGACATCTAATATTTATGATATGACCTCATGCTTCGAAGCACAAACACAAAAACAAAACCAGAGACGCACCAGCTTCACCGTGACTCTGCTGTTTTCGGTAAATATGTTTATTATCACATTATTTTTTTCCATTTTTAACTGGATATTTGATACTAGGTCAGTCTTGTGTTTGCATATTAGGGGAATAAATGTGATATTAAAGGTCCATTGTGTGACTTTAAACCATTGTTGCTTTGTCTGGAATGTTTCACAGTGTGGCATTAAACCTTTCTATCGTCATGGAGACCAAACCAGACCGAGTTACAGGTCAGAGCCGTGGAGAGGCGACCCCGCTGACGGTCACAGTGAGTGTTTTTCTGGGTATTTTTGAGCTGTGAAACCACATGTGATTTAATAAATATAAAGTAGAGCTGTTTAAAGTCACACTGTGGGACATTACAGGCAGTGCAGTGCAGTGCCGGGAAGCAGCTGGAAAGTCCCGCTGGCTGGAAAGTCCCTCTGAATTGTACCCTTTATGAAACTATGTTAGTTAATCTATATACATATAAATAAAACAAAAAAACATGTTTGTCATTACAGATATTGTACACACGTAAGTCACAATATATCTCAACACATTTGTTCATACATACAAAAAGAAACTATTTGTGATTTCACTTATTATCTTACATATTTTATCTTACTTATTATTTTACATATTTTATCTTACTTATTATCTTACATATTTTTATCTCACAAATTTCAATTAAATACATAGTTAAGACCTTCCCAAAAAGTGATTCTGAATGATTTTTGAACAAATTCTGTAGCGTTTCTTCCCAAATCAACAGTTACAGATGCGACAGGACACGGAGAACAAGAAAAAATGATTTAAAATACGATTTCACAGTAAACGTCTATGAGCAAATGAGGATTATATTGATAATAGATACTGAAAAAATGTGTGCCGCTTCAGTAACATCAATAAAATGACATAAACAAGGCCCGACATTTGGTCTGGTACATTCACATTTTATTTTATTATGATATAGAAGCTGATTTTGCAACTCAGTACATCGCAGTGACACAATCGGCACGACACGAAAGGCCGGCGACGTTCAAACCGAGAGGATGGGACGTTCGAGCTGGGACAATCAAGCCAGGGGGACGCTCGAGCCGGTATTCGCAGTGACATATCCATAAAAAACAAGCAGATGAAGGACCCCCAACCAAAAAGTTACACAGCGCACCTTTAATACCAGGTCAGTCTTATGTGTACATATTAAGAGAATGAGAAATAAATGCAATATTAGACATAAAACCTCGCAAACGTGAACAATAACGATCTCCCCCGTACACAGAAATGCCATTGTCAACTTGATCAGAACATGTGAAGTGTGGGAGTTTGAATACATTACATCACTATGGTTCACCAGAGCTCTGAGAACATTATTTCTCAAGAAGGAGCCCATGTTACGTTTATAGGATTAATTGTTGCCTAAATATTATTCAAGTTATGGTAAGAAAATTAAATGTATATAGAAAAGTACAGTGGAATATTTTACGCAGAAATCGACCACAATTTTGCTGTCCTAGGGCGAAGTAAAACAGATTAAAATTTGACTTTGTTACATATAGGGGTGTCGAAAAATACTGAAATATCAATGTATTGTATGGTTTAATTTGATGATACAGTATCAATATCATGGGCTGCTGTATCGATACATCACCAGGAATATTTTTAGGTATGTTTTACGAAATTATCTTGCGTAAGAAATACAATTGTGTTGACATTTTCACAGTTTTGATGAGGAAAATGGGTGTTTTTCACATTAACTTAGTTGACTTTTAGTATCACAGTCATACGGAGAAATTTATCAGTTTTCACTTAGAGCTTGTTACAGCATGTTTTGAATAAAAAATACCAATGTTTAAAGGTTTGAAAATAATAGAAAATTATGGCAAAAGAGAAATTGAATTCTTCTTGACAAAAATAAATAAATAAAAATTTAAATTTAAAAATTTAAATAAAAAAGTGTCAGAACTGAATTTCTCTTTTGCCATAATTTTCTATTATTTGTATATTTTCAAACCTTTTAACATTGGTATTTTTTTCTTCAAAACTTAACAGGCTGTAAGTGAAAACAGATACATTTCTCCTTATAGTAAACAGTAACTGTGAGTAACATCTCTAAATTCATTCGGATATATGTACCCCCGCAGGCTGTTGTTATGTTTGTCCTCAGTTTTGTGAAATTTATTATTATTTTAACTTTTATAAACCAAAAAGTATTGACCGCTATTGATCAATTGTACAATTTGAACTGTACTCTGTTTTTGGCTCAATAAAAATGCTATAGTAAACGGTAACTGATACGGTCTAAACTTGGACCTAACTTATGTTCAATTACTACTAATATAAGGGAGAAATCCAATTCTGTCAACTGGACAAAGTAAATAAATAAATAAAAAAAGAATTAAAATAAATAAATAAAAATATCCAGATGACAGAACTGAATTTCTCCTTTGCTACGGATCCCACCTGGACGACTGAGAGATTTCACAAACAAATAGAAAATGATGATCAAAACAAGTTCAAGCTATGAAAAAAGTATAAAATTATAATAGGGGTGTGCAAAAATATCGGAATATTGATATATCGTATTGTTTAATGTGATGATACAGTATCGATATCATGGGCTACTGTATCGATATGTCACCAAGAGTATTTTTAGGTGTGTTTTACTAAATTATTTTGTTACAGAGCTACAGTTTTGTTGCTTGCGGAGTGAAAGGAAGCTCATTTATGCAACACATTGGACATTTTTACTGTTCTGATGATTAAAATATTTGTGTTTCATATGAACTTTGCACAAGAAGTGGTTTAACGAAGCCTTTCAGTATCACAGCCATGATTTAGCCTTTATTTTTTATCGAACCGTATCGAATCGATTTGAAATATATCATATTGAATCGAAAGCGCACTGTATCGAGATATGTATCGTATCGTGGCCTGTGTATCAAGGTATGTATCGTATCGGCAACTTCTTAGTGATACCCAGCCCTACATTATAGTTTTTGTTGTTGTACGAATGACCCAAGCTCAGCCACAAGCTTCAAAACAAATACAGAAAATCAAAACTACAGCAATTCCATTTAAATCCACGTGAAATCGAGTTATAAAAACAATATCTAGTACTATTGCCATCTGGAGGAGCGCACAACATCTGCGATCGGTCCAGACAAAGAGCCACCAAAACTATTACCTTGTTGTTGTTTTTTTTTGTCAGCAGCAACATTTCACCCTACGAACTCGAGACTCGTAAAAGCAACATTTCAGCACCAAACAGACCCTGGAAAATACGGTTTATTTGACCTTGGACAAAGGACGGAGAGCGATGACAAATGCACAATGTCAGGATCATCAGGAGCACTGCAGCCCACCGACAGATAGACGGACTGGGGATGCTGCTGCTGCTCTTCTGCTGCTGCTGCTGCTCGTGGTTTGTTTACATCGAGCTAACGAGAAAGCTAGTCCGCTAACACGAGCTGCCACGTCCCGACGAAAACCTCCATAACTATTTCCCTATCATGTATTTTATTTTGACAGCTTTATATTTAGATAGTGCTACCTTTAAACATTACTAGAATATTTTTGTTTCACGAATCAAATACATTCAATATAGTAAAAAACGGTTCTTTGTGTCGGGTTAGCAGATTAGGAGTCTTGTTGTTTACTACGTGTGCTACGATGTATTAAAGTGGTCAAATCTCTCCTAATGCAACGAGATAAAGCGAGGGAAGTGTATTGTAAAAATAAAAAAGTGGATTCCCGTAGGAGTATTTACCTTGTTTTGGAGCTCAGAGACGCAGCCGTGTCGCAGGTCGCTCTCACTTCAGACAGTTGTATCCGCGGCGCTGCTTCGCTCGACACTGAACCTGCACGGACCGGACCAGCGACGTCGTACTCGCATGAGCCGCCCACAGCCAATCAGATCACAGCGTGGTAAGATTGGCCAATGGGAAACGACGAGGAACAGGAAGTAAACATCGAGAAAAGTTTTGTAGTTTCTATCGTTTTATTCACGCTTTTTCACTAAACGAAAGTGTTTAAAAGGGGAATGTCTGGATGAAAACTGGGTCAAAGGCATCGTACGTGATCTGTACATTGTGTAAAGGCGGAGAATAACATTTAGTTGTTTTAGTAGCAATAAGATAACCAATTGATACGTGTCTAAATTGTGTAATAAAACAAACTTACATTTTTATTAGCTTTTAATCAAATTATTTTAAGTCACCAAGTTTATTTTTATTTTATTTATAATTTGTGAAATTTAAGGGATTGGATACCCAGCACATCCACAATAAGACAGACTTAACTAAACATGCATACAGAAAATAAATAAATAAATAATAAAAATAATTATTATAATAAATAAAAATAAATAAATAAGTTAATAATAATAATAATAATTAAAAAAAGGGGGGGGGGGGTTAGGGAGGGTGTGTGTAGTACAGAGTTCCTCAATGCAGTGACACAAACATTTACATACACATATAAGTTTTGTAGTTTCTATCGCTTTATTCACGCTTTTTCACTAAACGAAAGTGTTTCAAAGGGGAATGTCTGGATGAAAACTAGGTCAAAGACATCGTACTTGATCTGTACAGTTTTGTAAATATGGAGAGTAACATTTAGTTGTTTTAGTAGCAATAAGAGAGCCAATTAATACGTGCCTAAATTGTGTAATAAACAAACTTATGTTTTTATTAGCTTTTAATCAAATTATTTTAAAAATAGGCCAAGAGCTAATAAATAATCAATATGCCTTTAGGTTACAGTGACCAAACATTCCTTATTTACCCAGGACAGTCATAGTTTTGAGCTCCGTGTTTTTGATTTATCCAAAACCACAGATTTTTCCCAGTTTTATCACAAGAAATGTCCCAGGTGTCCCTATTTTTGACCAATCTGATCCCTGCCAACAGTAAAGAGATGCATAAATTGTCATTTGTTTAGATAAAATACAGAAAATCGGCTTAAAAATGACCCAAACTCTAAGAAAATGTGACTCTACTGACTCACGCGTTAGTCATGAATGGTATTTGCATAACTATTTTCCTTAATTACGCACTCGTTTCACAGTTTAATTATTACCAGCCACCTAAAAAATCTTGTCACCCTACTTTAGGTTAGAACTAATCTAGGCTAACGAATATATAAAGGTTACAATAATGTCTACGGACCTAAAATTAAACATGGAGTGGCCTCCATGTGGCCTCAGCTAAGAAAAATATTTTGCTTTCCAGATTGAAATCAGGTCTATAACAGAGCTATTCTAGGTCTAAATTAGGGGAAAACCAGGTCTAAAATAGAACTGCACGTTGCTATATAGATTATAAACAATGACGAACCCAGTGGAGGGCAAAAATTTTCATTACAACGACTGTAAGTTCAGCAGATGTTCAAACTGCAGTGGAAGTGAAGCTTTATAACACCATAGAACACGTAGACATATAGTACCACACTTTTATCTAGTATTTTTTTCAATTTTTTTTTACCATTTATATTTTTACTCTTTGTTATTGTATTATATTGTGATGTGTGAACTCCTGTGTCCAAATAATTTCCTTTGTGGATCAATAAAGTTTGTCGAAACCTAACTCTAAGTCTAAGTTTGTGAACCGTTGGCCTATATTATCATTATTATTATTTGTTTATTTATTTCATTCATAAAGTATAAAAAGACATCAACAGTGTCACAGCATCAAACATACAAGAAATGAATGAAAAGGAGCAGAAAGAAGAGAAATCTTATGTTCTCTGCCGCCTTTTCCCTTTTCAAGACAAAACATCAACACTGATAGTTACTGTAAAACATTTCAAGTCAGTAGATTTCAGTTTAGGCCCAATTATTAATCAACTGCAAAAAGAAATCTTCACTTTTATACACAACATCTTAGTTAGATTTTTCATACATACACATTGCATTTGATTTTATGTGTTTTTTAAATGTCACCATTGTATTTTGGCAAGACGATTCCATAAGTTTACTCCTTCGTTCTATAACGTTGGTTCTGAATCTGGGTTTTTTAAACATGTAGGTTCCTTTTAAATTGTAGTGGCTTGTTCTTAGCTCAAACAGTCTTTGAATATTTACAGGTAACACATTGCAGTTTGCTTTATACATGACTTTGAGGAGACTTAAGTCAACAATATCATGCATTTTCAACATTTTAAGTTGAACAAATAATGGGTTGGATGTCTCTCTACAGTATAATAACTATTGGTGACAATTCTCAAGGCGCTTTTTTGTAAAATAAATAAAGGTTGTAGGTGAGTTTTACATGTTGACCCCCAAATTTTAGATCTGGTGCAATTATAGAGTTATCCAAAGTTAATAATGCTGTACTATTTAGTGAAAACTTTACTTTAGAACAGCAGAACAACAATGGTTTTGGAAATTTTGCCTTTAGTGTAATTTACATGAGACAAACTCCAGTTTAGACCCTCATCAATCATAATAAATATATATATACAGCATTAAGATAATAAAAATAATTGGTGTGTGTTGTTCAATAGACATTTCCAAGTACTATAAAGCTCCACTAAGTATGTTTATGACCTTTTTCCTAAGACAATGTGGTGCACTTCAAAGAAATCACATCGCTCATCATACTGAGAATCAAACCACACCACCACCGCCACAGAGCATGCTGGGTAACATCCTATTTTGCAACAGACATGCACCGACTGGATTAGAAGTTTTGCCTGATTGAAACGGTAACGTAAAAAGGTTTGGTCGAAAGTGAAGCTACAACAGCCGGGCGTGTTTAGCAGTTTCACAAAGCCATTCACCTCCTTCAGCCACTTTCATTGCAAAGGTGGGAAATCGAGTTTGGCGAGTCTGACTTAAGTTTATCAGATGTTCGTCCAGCTGAGCACCCAAGAGACTCGTGAACGCTCGAAGTGGATGTAGAGGAAGAATGTCAGTATGAGAGTTTGCGCACAATGACATCATCTTTTGTGCCGTTTTCTGATTGGCAGCTCGTATCTCAGTGATAAAAATCTGAAATGATGTAGAGCAAAGGTTGAAGCTCCACGAAACACTTTTAAAGATAAGTTCTAAGCTCGTTTCTTGAAAACAAAACAACATGCTACTTCTATTACTGCAAATTTTAATGTTCTTCCTTCATTTATTTTCATTTATTAAAACAATTAATTATGTTTTCTTAATGCATTTGATCACAACATCTATTTTGTCAACAAATCTATCTGATATTTTCCATTATGGGGCATTAAGCAAACTCTTAAATGGCCCATATTATGCTATTTTCTGATCTATTTTATAAAGTTGTTTCCTCATCACAAACAGACCTAAAGTTGTGTTTTGTTTCATTCACAAAATGCACACAAATGCTGCATATTTAGGCCGAGTTCTTTTCTCAAATAGATGTGATGTCTTGTGATAATACAGGTGCTCCACTGTGTTTTTAAACTCGACTCACCTTCACTGGAATCATTTGAATAATTTCAGCCCTGGAATTGCCAATCTCTACTGAACTAAAAGTAAATGGAGCAGTTAACTTGAATACGACGTGACATCATAAGGTGGAACAGAGCATTTTGAACTTTGGAGATATAGACTGACTAACAAAACAGGATTACGCAAGAATGTGAAGAATGACTCAACTCCAGATATGTTTTTGATGAAGCAACAACATTTAACATGACTTAAAGTGCACAAGAGTTAACTTTGTGTAACAGAGGAGCCTTTAAAGACAGGTGCGCTCTATTACTACTGTGTAACTGTTAATAACTGATATAAAAAATATTGTTTTATATCAACCACATGAAACTACATTATTATTATTTTTTTCTTTTCTGGTGGAGGGTTCATCAAATGCTTTTCTGGAGATGTTATTGTTTTGTCTGGAATGTTTCACAGTGTGGCATTAAACCTTTCAATCATTGTGGAGACCAAACCAGACCAGGTTACAGGTCAAATCTGTGGAGAGGCGACCCCGCTCACGGTCAGAATGTTGTTTTTCTAGGTATTTTTGAGCTTTAAAACCACCTGTGATTGAATAAATGTAAATTAGAGCTATTTAATGTCATACTGTGGAACATTCCAGACAGAGCAATGACTGATTTGTCCCAGTTTTATCACAAGAAATGTCCCAGGTGTCTCTGTTTTTGATCAATCTGATCCCTGCCAACAGTAAAGAGAGACATAAATTGTTATTTGTTTAGGTAAAATACAAAAAAGTCACTTCCACAGTATGACATTGAACAGCTTTACCTTACATTTATTCAATTACAGGTGGTTTTATGCTCAAAAATATCTAGAAAAACAACATTCTGACTGTGAGCGGGGTCGCCTCTCCACAGATCTGACCTGTAACTTGTCTGGTTTGGTCTGCATGAAGATAGAAAGGTTTAATGCCACACTGCGAAACGCCAAATTCCAAACAAAGCAACAACATCCGCACAGAGAAAAAACAAACAAAAAACATTTGATGCACCATCCACCTGAAAAGTTACACAATTCACCTTTAAAGCTTGAATAATGCATTTTATTACCTAAATAATCCTTCTTTTGCCACATGTGCAGTTAAGTGACTTAGCAGTGGCCCCTCACTGAACCCTCTGTACTGTTGCTGGCTCTGCGGTCTGTTTGCATAACCTCACATTCAGATTGCTCCATGTCCCCGTTCCTAATCTCACACCGGTCCTATCTGCCGTAGATCGTGGTGCGGCCCTCTTTCTTGGATAACATTTCCATTTATAGATAAGCTGCTACTTATAGACGCATGGAGTTGAGAGGAATTATTATAAATCCAAGGTTGCAGTTCTATTGTTAGCGGCTTCATTCACTTCACATTTAAAAATAACACTACTTACATAATTACTCGAAGCTTTTAGTGAGATTTTCATTGGGAAATTGATTGCACTGGTGTAGTGACAAGG